TCTCTCATTTCTGCTTGTAACTGTCTCATGCTGGATTTGATTTTCTTCATCTCTTTTGCATTCTATACCAAAATTTATAAAATACTTAAAGAATACATTTGAGGATCATTCTGTTATATAACAAGCAGAAAAAGAATGGTACATTCTATATTTACCTGATGCTTCAGTTGTTGGAAATACAATGCCTTGGTTAATACTGTTGAATGCTGTAAATTGAACGGGGCCATATTTTATCGCTGGCTTGAGTCTCTTTTTTTAAAATATTTTTAAAAAAAATTTAAAAATCTAATTAATAAATATTTTATTTTTATTTATTTATTACAACTGTCCCACAAAGACTTGAGTTTTTACATGGCCAAGCTCTTTTTGCACGTTGCCAGGCCATCCCACTCCACATGGGACTTAAAGTGCTATTTATTTATTTTTATATGTCTCTTTTAACTTGTGAAATTTGATAGCCCCACTAATATGAGCTGGGGGGAATCAGATCTACGAAGCATCCTGATTTCAAAATTATATTTATTTTTGGCAACAGAGGATTCAGGTTAATTAGCTACTAATTAAGGAATTAGAGGTTAAGGATTCATAATTTTATCGTTGTGGATTCGATTCTTACAAATAAGGAAGACATTTTTCTAAGTGATAAATTAATAGGCTAATTTTATACTCTCTTTTTTTTTTTTAATTAAAAAGGGACTTCCTTTCTAAGTTGGTCCTTCTAATAATTGGCCTTATAAACTATAAAGAAATTTATGCAAGAAATGATATGGGCCATGGGTCATATTATAAGGTGGAGGCCATGTGGCATAATGTGCAATAATGTTTGGTTGGTTGAGCGATTCTTACATCATTTTCTTTTCCTCTTCTCAACATCAATCCTTCTAATCCTAAGAATATTTCTCGATTAGTCTTAATAACTTGTTAATTTCTCTCTTATTTAAAATTCAAAATTATATAATAGTGTGTAAAATTACAATAATATTAAGATATCATTAAATGTCTCAACTACTAAAAACTTAAAATTCTAAATCAATTCGAGTTTAAATATCAAATTAAATAAAAAAATAATTTGAGAAAAGGAAGAGTTATTAAATGTTAGATGGCCTGCTTATTCATTAGAACAATATCAAATGTTAAGAAAGCTACACATATCATGCAGCTCAAAACAACTCAATGAAAACAAGTTTTTATGTGCAATTTCTTTGTCCCTTTTGAATACAAGCATTTTAATTGCACTTTGTTGCCAAAATCTCTTGAACCAAAACTACTAGTCGTTTTCCTCTTATTAACCCCTCCTAGCAAATTCCTCTATCCATGTCATCCACGACTACAATACATGACCATGAAGCCTCTATTTTGTTCTCATGTGTAGAATTAAAATTTACACATACATAACACAATTTATAAAAAGAAAACCCATAAATCCAAATTTCACCTTACATTCAACACCAATTCTAAGCAAACTATGCCCGATTGATCTCTATGGATGGAAGACAACGTCCCGCATTCGAATTCACTCCGATCATCATCGGCCTCCTCGGGATCATAGCCGGGGCCATCTTGGTAACAACCTACCACTGCATTGCCGTTGGTTGCTGCCACCGGAGGCGCTCGCCAACGGCCACTCAAAACGCACATAACAATAATCAGCAACAGCAAAGGCCAACCATCAGAAGCAATGTTAATGCCATAATTATGCTACGTGCCACGATTTTTAAGTACAACAAGGACTGCCAAGAAGGAATGTGTGCCGTCTGCTTAAGTGATTTCAACGAAGACGACGAGATTCGGATCTTGCCTGAATGCTTGCACATTTTTCACGTACCATGCATAGATGCGTGGCTGATTTCACACTCTAATTGTCCGCTCTGTCGTGCCAATACTGCCTCGCTAGCGCCACCGCACGTGGCGATGTCTTTGCTGGATGCAAGGCGGAGTGCTACCGACTCCGAAGAGCTGGGGTTGCCTGATTCTTTGTCAAATGATTAAGGGAGTGGCTTTAGTTCTAAGGCTTTCCATTTTTCATTAATGATTGCTCAAATTTGCTTGGAAATTACTCAAAGTGAGCAAAAATGAAATTACGAATACGAAAACTTTGGTGTGAAAGCTTATGCTTATGTATTTGGGCCTCTTGGGCCCATCGAAAATGGGCCACATAGATACAGCCCATTAGCATGTCTTTGTTTGGAGTGAATTTTGTCCCACGACCTCATATAATCAGTTTTATATATTCTGCCTTTTATCTTATTAAATTTAAAATTTTTAGTGTTTTCCTTTATATTATCTTTATATTATGAAGTTTTAACTTTAAATTTAAAAATTTAAAGATTTTAATCTCTAAATTAACAAAATTCATTAATTATCTGTTAAAATGTGAATAAAATATTTATAAAATCAATTCTTAAAAATTAAAAATATAACAATTTAGTTTCAAAAGTTTAAAAATTAAAAAAAATTGTAAATTAAAAAGAATTAATAAATGACTTTTTCATGTACACTAAAATAATATTAGTTATCTATAATCAAATCGAGCAATTAGTTCAATTTGAAGAAAAGATTTTTAGTGAAATTAAAGTAAATTTTTTAGCTAACTTAAGGTATAAAGTCTAAGAGACTAAAAGAATATAATCAATTTTTTTTTTAATCTTAATCAGATTTAAAAAAAAAATTAAGTCAATCATTTGATTTAATTGTAAATATTTAATATTATTTTTATGTATGTAACAAAATTATCCATTAATTATTTTTAAATTACTAATACTTTTAATTTTTAAAAATTTAAAACTAAATTGTTATATTTTTAATATTTAAAAACTGATTTTGTAAATATTATATTTATATCTTAATGAAAAGTTAATGGATCTCAATAGTTTTTGGATTAAAATTTTTGTATCTTTAGATCTAAAATT